ACGACTCGTGTGCATACACAGGCGGAGAGATGGTAAGGGGTTGATTCTGAAGGATTGCTGGAGAGAATAGGGAGGGCGGGGGGAGGGAGAGAGTCAGTGGAGAGGGAGGGAAACTAGAGGGAGGGGAGAGAGGGGAAACAGTAAATGAGAGGAAAAGTGGGGTGTGCAAGCGAGGAAAGCTAAGGATAAGCAAAGTGTGAAAGTAAATACAGAAAACAAGACGACATTGACAAGGAATAACACCGGCGTGCGGCGCAATCCCTGTTTTTGTAGTCCAAAGTGTTTAATGATAGTGGAAACTCCTTGGCTATTAACTAATGATCTCGTTTGTGAACCACGAATTTTCCTCAAATGAAATGTACAATTGTTGGTATTATGATGTTTTTTTTTTGACAAATCTCCCACACAGTATGTAAAGGTCATGTGCACACACACTTATTTATACACTTAAATATTCTTGCATGTTTGTTTGATTATGATTGATTGTGCCTGTGAGTGTGTGTGTGTGCAAACAAGTGCATTTTGTTGGTCTATCTACCGAGATATGTCACTCCCTTTTTGACACTACTATATTTCTCATCCTGTTAAGGGATCATCCATAAGCAAAGCCTTGTGAAAGAGGGTTTTTGACGCTCCAATGCATTGTGTGCCATGCATGCAGCTGTGTGTTTGTATGTATGTATGTGCATCTGCATGTGCATGGTGTGCATCTGTATTTATCAATGTTGGTATTGGTAATGCTGTTGTTGGCAATATCACTGCAGTTATGGAGGGTTTAAGCTCTCACAACAATACCTACCTACAAAGAGCTCCATTCTCTGTGTGGTTTTATTGTAATTTGAAAATAATGCAGGAATTCCCATTGATAAATACAATAAGCTGCTTACAGCAAATACAAAGCCTCAGCGTAGGAAGAATAGCATCACTGTGGAATGGGTTTCATGGGGGAGACTTTTGTGAATTATGCTTACACATGTACACTCTCACACAATAATGTGCATATTGGTTTAGCTTGTGAATCTATTATTTACCCAAAAGTTTAAAACAATTTATATTATAATAAGGTTACAATTTCTCTACTGCCTCATGATATGAGCACATTTGAAATGCCCTCAAGCTAGCAATGTGCTCTGTAGAGCTGTGACCACATTACCAACCAGTGCATTACTAAATCTACTGTCCACTACTGTACACGCCTCTTCAGTTTCTCCCAACCCACCACTTGCCTGGCCATCTCTCCCACTATATTCCCCAAGGCTTTCATTCATAAATGCCTATAGAGCGTGTCTAGTTTCCTATCCATCCAATCATCCGATCTTCCACCCGTATAGTATTCATCCTTTCTGATGCCAATTTAAGATACAACAGACCAATTTGCTTTTAACTGCAAGAGATATTTTTTATCAGAACACTCATTAGTTCTACGTTCATCATGGATTAGACAGCAAGATGTAGGTGATTTCAATCTAAAACACTGTGAAAAGTGGATGAAAGATAGACATAGATCTAAAATAATTCCCTTTGATATGTGCAGCATTAAAGAACATGGGATTATAAATTCTCGACAAACTGATGGCGTCACACAGTTTGAGTGAAATGTACGGGCTGGAATATAGATGCAGGATGGCATGACAGTGAAGACAGTGTTAATGGGAAAATTTAAGTGTAAAACCTAGTCAAGTCATTAAGGCAGTTTGCGTAAATTACTGTAATAAAATAAGGGGGTTGTGAAATTTCTTCCACTGGAAGCACTTTTTCCAACTGCAAAATTACCACCCATTCTGGTTTATCACATGGCCGACCACCGCCCCAAAACACCAACACATATAGACGCTTTTCTCTTTATTTCATTCTTTGCAGCCACCCTGGCTAACCAGGTCAGTGAACTGGTCGGGTCGAATGTGAAGGAGAAAAGGAAATCCTATCAATTATGGCCTCATTTCAAACTTTAGCCTGCGGCTAATGAGCTCCAAACCAGCAAAGTGGGCTAATGCTTGACCTTTGACTAACAGGGCAACTTGCTGCAGGATGAATTGTGAAATCGAGTGTTACAGCTGCAAGAGTCTCCCGTAAAAGGGTTTCGCTCTTTACCCCTGAAAGTGTTATTGCAAAAAAACACATGTGCCATTTGGAAAAAAGAGGGGCAGACGTCAAATTTTTGGGCAAAACGACTTTCTTAAAGCTCATCCTCACTACGAGAATACTGTTTTTAGATGTGTGTTAGATACCTAGATTTATGGTTGGCAAATTACAATACAACTGATGCTATGAATAGATACTGCATTAAATACCTAGACTCCAATATTCAATGTCATAGTATTTTAAAAAGGAAACTTTTTATACATTTGCATTTATTAAAGATATGTTAGGCATGTATAATTGAATAGCGGTTGGCTCTGACATTTTGCTAACGTCAATATTACCATAGACTTAAATAGTTTTAAAAGTCGAGCTGCATTCATTGTCCTTCTTCATTACTATCCCAAGTATTTTATGAAGTCATTTTTTTCAATAACACAGCTGTCCAGCTAATTGCTCATTGCTTATATGTATATAAGTTCCTCATCGACTGGACAGTCCAACAGATCAACCACAGCAAACCTTTTCTTTACGAAGGATTTCTTGTCTGAAACTACCGCCTGAATGGTAACTGTGCCAAAGCTGATGTTTTTGAGTAACACTCATATATACTCATATGTACTTTTTCACAGCAACGTAGCAAAGTAGCAGACGGCCGCAGCTCGCACCAGATTGTATAAGAGACAACGTGATGAGAGGATGACTTTCATGCATGTCATGTAGTGTCAATCAAAGGAAGTACAGGGCAGAAAACACTTATCGCCCGTGGACACAAAAGCGAAAAAACGTCTACTTCTTTCCAAAAACGGAATGTTCACAAATGTCTACAAAAGGAATTGGGCCGCGACAGATAACATGTATGCCACATTTCTGCAGAAAATGACAAACTCTTTGTTCATTGAACACGGAACAGTATTTTTGCTTCATCCTGAATGAACTAGTTGTTCTGATGTGATGTAATCTTGTTTGTCGTTCAATGAAGTTCAAAGGAACTAAGAAACATATAAAAGCTGCTGAGTGGCAGACAACAATGTAGCAACAACTGTTTTATCAAGAAATATTTATAGTCTATTTCCAAAAACTATTAAATGAAATGATAAAACTATGACACTATCACACTATGATGACAAGGATGTTGTGGTACAGACATCCAGAGTTCACTACAAAGGCAAAACAGCCACTCAACGGTTTTCACTGGCATCAGTCTATTAAGAAGATGAGCTCTCCTGACAGCATCCTTCCCACAGAAGAGGCAATACAAGCTTACTCAGTGGTCTTAGTGGAATTGCATTCATCTGATTACTATAGGATGTAGCATGTTTCAACAGAATTTGAATAAATCTTCATATTCTGAAAAAAAAAAAAAAATCTTTCTGTAAAGTTGAGCTGAAATTGGAAAATGGTCTTATGACAATCAGTAGGATAAAAAGAAAGAGAAATGCATGAATGATCAAAACTGCAGTTTGATGATTTGTAAGAAACATTTGCTCTCTTTCTTCTTTCTCTCCCTTATCCAGCACACAAAACACACAATTGACACTATTAATTCTCTCCGGTGTAAATCTCCTGCCCTCTGATGGTGTTCCATGGACATCCATTCAATTCTCTCCGCTGTCTGTTCCAGTTATAACACCCACACGTACAAACAAGCGCACAGACCACAACACACACACACACACACACACACACACACACACACACTAACGCACACACAAAACCGTGATAGGTTATTTGCAGAATACAAATCTCTAGCTCATTTTTTCCGACCTGTCATTCTTCGCCCGTCCACTAGTCGGCCCAAACCAGTTCCCCCTTCAGATGAGTCACCTGCTTTCACATTTACGGCCCCGCATGGTGCATTTACTATACAGGTACATTGCCCGGCCAATATTCCCACTTTACCAGATTGTGTTGATTTCTCAGTAGACCTACTTTGTCTTTGTCTTGTTCTGCAGCTATGGATCTGTGTTTGTGACCAACAGCCAGCCCTCGAAAACCATTTGCCAGCTCTGCCTCTCTGGTTGCATTTAACAGGTCTTTATGTCGATGTGCACGAGCCTGCCTATTAAGTAAAAACAGATTATTCCAAACATGCCTTGCCTTCTACCGTGTTACTACCGAGTTACTGATATACAAAACAGCAACAACCAAATGACTGTTTCATACAGTCTCAACGTGAGCTAAATAGTACCAGTACCATTCAAAGGTTTGGGCATATTTTCTCATTCAATGAAAAAGTGTGTCCAAACTTTCGACTGGTACTGTGCACACCGACTCTTTTCAAACATTGAACTATTTTTCTTTAAGCGTTTGTTGAATGTCCAGTAAAGTGTTGCTCAAAAAGAGACAAAATATATATAAAACATATCTCGTGTCATGTTATGTTGCATTCTAGCTTGTATGGTTGTGTTCTGCAAGATATTACAGTGTTTAACAAGGACAAATATAACAGTGCTACTGTGTATGTTACTGAGTATGTTAACAAAAGCTATTGCACACAGCTTGTTTAAAGACAAGATGGAGATGATACACATAATTGAAACTAATTTAAACTACCACTTATTATTCACTATAATTTTCATGGCAACACAAAATAGACATTGTCAAGCAAGTTGTCCTTCGTGCAAAGCTCTTAGAGCCTCGCGTGGCCTAGATAGAGATTCCAGATGAATGAACCAACAAACACACGGTCTAGTTGCCAGTGATGGCCTTTTCTTTCCAAACATTGTATAGGAAATTGCAGCATAGAACTTAAACAGAGCCTCCCAGTACTTGCTGTAACCACTTGACCTCCTTTATATCCAAGCTGTGGCCAACGTTCTTTGTTCTGCATGTGTGCCCTTCACTTGCTTTGAAAGGTCACACCAAGTATAAGCTGTTCAGATGCCCTGTTGACCGAGTGCACTTCTGTTTGGTCTTACCTTGGTATGGAGCTTGAACAGCTGCTTTTCATCCAGGTGAGTCTGGGTGTACACACGTCTTTTATAGCGGAACTGAAAAACAACAACACACATAAGAGGCCAGGCAGATTTAACCCTCTCCCTTAGTGCGTGCTTTGATCGCCTGACAAACAAAACGCTACAAAAAATACACTGCGAAACAAAATTGTGACTAAAACACATGGTAGAATTTGAAAATCCAACCTTCATCTCATCAGTAGCTGTGACAACGGTGCAATGGATTATTTCACAGTTGAATCATATTAGAATACAACAAATAAGGAACATTTACAATTCAAACTTTTCAAAAGACTGATGGTTATTTGTTTGTCTTTGCAGTCGACTTGTTCAATAGAAGGTTTCACCAAACAGTAACATCTGTAACAACTATGTGTGTGTGTGCTACTGCATGCAAGCATCGGTGTGTCTGTGCACGTCGGTTTCTCTGTCGATGTGTGGTGTGATTCCACAATGGAGCAGAGCGGTTTTGAACAGCTAATCCAAAACCGTCATCACCTCCACACACAATAACATAGTTATTAATAATAACAGTACCTCTCAATGCATCAGAGCTTTACAATAAACCGAGGATCAAAATGGAAAGTAAACCTTGCATGATGGACAAGCACACAATTATCTCCAAAGAATGACAAACCATTGCAGAAAACACATTGCTATTGAGCGTATCTTTGCTGCTAGATTAGACTGACTCTTCATGAAAGGAGAAGCACACAGGACATATGCATTCCCACACCATCATGCCTTGCGGATACTATACAATAACTACAGCATGTAAGATGCAACATGTATCGTGTGTTCCGTGTATGTGAAGAAAAATACATGAAAAAAAGTAGTGTGCCTCAAAGGTAAATAGCTGTTACACACTGTGGGCTGCATGTGTCCTGGCCTTGCTGTTATATAGTGTTCAGCACTACATTATTGATATACTTCTTCCAGGGCTGGACAACTAACTGGACAAGGACGTCAATTATTGTCTAGTATTATTATCACACAATGCCATTATTGCCAATTATTAGGAACTCTGAGTATTACTGCGCTATTGACTAAACCTCATAACCGTATTTGCTAAGATGCTGGTGTCTCTTGCTCTCTCCTGCCAACACGGCTTGAAGCCTGACACACACACACACACACACACACACACACACATGATCCACACCTACCTCCAGGTAAGGTACAGGAGCGAGGGATGGGAAAGGGTATTCCCTTAGCTGTCTCTCCTCGTCAAGAAACTTGCCAGCCTTGCCGTTGTAGGCCGGCTGGAACAGGCCGTAGTTGAGCACATCCTTCAGGCTCTGGTTGAGCGTGCACAGGATTCGCTGCTTGGACTGCCAGATCGGAGCATCCACATTAAATTTCATACATTTCTGCAGATAAGAGCGAAAGAAGGTAAGATTTTAAGTGCTGCGTCTTTCTGACTATCACGTATTGCATGTGTTGAGGTGCTACAAAAAATTAAATCGTAAATCTTGCATTACAGAGAAGTGCATTAAACTTCCAAAGTCGTGCCCGGGGAGAAGCTAGGCCCTTTATTATAATAAGCAATTCACAAAGGTAAGGCAGTATTTCAACATTATCCATTAGTTCTCACAAAAGGTCATCCTAAAAGCCAGCGGTAGTCAGAAAACTAAAGTAAACAAAACATTAATATAAAGCAAAAGCTCTTACAGAACCACTCATCTGACGCCCATATTGCAGCAGAATACATTTGGTTCTAAATGTGAGAGTGCAATATTCATGCTCTAAAAAACTAAGCGGGGAAATGTGACTGCTGCAAAAAGAGCTGCAGTAGTTTGTCATCAGTCACAAATAAAACATCGCAGGTACCGTAAGGGTGCCTGTGGGACAAAGAGCACCGAGTTGGTTAAATTCTGTGATCTAATAAGAAAATGTGTTCACATTACATCTATTGAGAGATAACACTGTCTTTTAAATTTTGCAGTTACAAAAAATTGATAGAGTTTGGTTAACTGTTAATTGAACTGCACATACTTGTAATACAAGTCCAGAGTGTTAAGCACAATGGTTATTGGGTGCAGGCAAAGCACTTCCCTCTATCTGCCACATTGTGGAGCAGGAGAGAGAGAGAGAGAGAGAGAGAGAGAGAGAGACAGAGAGAGGGAGCGTGCAAAACCCACAAGTAATAAATCGATCACTGCCGCCTGCAATATTGATTTGCGACTTCAACTCTATTCTGTTCAGCATCACCGTGTTTCTGACTCATTGTACATTCTGGCTCAACATTTCCAGGTGTTGACTGTAGGAAAAGCAAGTTGCTCTAGGCTCTTTGAATATTTTTAATGGTCTGATTTTGATGAATCAGGGTGACATAAATCTACAACTTAAATCTTACTTAAAATGTTTAGAATCAAGAATCTGTGTTTGCCCAAGAAAGCTACATTTACATTGTGAAGTCAAACAAGGGTTTCCCTGATAAGAAAAATATGATAAACTCGAAGGCAATGATAAACTGAGGTACAAGAAAGACGCCAGTCTTTCTTGTACCTCAGTTTATCATCAATTAATTGAGGAAGCCCCGGCCAACAGGTAGAACAGAGGGCGGTACTTATTTTCCGGGGAAACCCCTGGTAAGTGGCCAGATAAGTGGACAATTTAGCAGGCGCGCCGACAGAACGAGAACGGCCGACAGATAAACAACAGACGCAGAGATTAGAGTGCGATCTACGACCGCGCGCCTTTGTGTGCGGTTGTGTCGATAACTTGTGATTGGTTGTCCGGTGATGGAGAAGCTTGTGTGATGGTGGTGGTACGGTGAATGGCTTGGTTGTTTGGTAAGTATTGTGATCCACACTCACGTCCGTCATTTTTCACAGGGCTTAAAACTGGAAATGACTTTGGAACGGGTTGAGTATGAAGAGGTATCGGGTCCATCGATGCACGGACGATCACGGGTGCTTTAAATATTGAGGGGGAGTTCTGTGTTTTGTGCATTTAACGTATTTAAACTGAGTCGACACCGCAGAAAGAAATAGCACTCGGCCGCTAATGTGAAATAAAATAAATTTGAGGATAGGTTAGACATAGAGTCGCTGGTATACGTCTTCATGAAATGGTCTATCATATGAAAGCTGAGAGTGTGAAGCGTCATTTCAGATGTCACATTCACAATAACAGACAGGCAGACCTAAAAACCCCCAAAACATAATTCATCTGAACAAGGCTTGTAACAGCTGCCACGGCATAGAAAATTATTTTTCAATGAATTAATTTTAAAAAAGGAACCAAAATGAGGGCTTAGAACATTGTGATGGAAGGGGATGCCGGCCATTCCATGCACACTTATGTCTCATCAGTTGCTGATACCCTTTGTTTTAGGATTGTACTGCTCAGCTTCTTTTATCTGTGATGACGTAGCGTTAAAGACAACACATTTTTATGCAATGTTTGCTGGAGAGGTTCCTTTTGGTTACATATTCCGTCATTTTATAATATATATTTTAATTTTCTCTCTCAAAAAAAGCATGCTGCCATCCATCGTCTCCTTTCCTTCTCACCTGCGGGTAGTACACTGACACTGCTTTGGTAAACAATGAAGAATAGGCAGTAAAAATAACACTTAAGGGGTTTAAGACTGATTTCAGCTCCATTAAAAGAAACCAAGCTGATGTAATCACATTGCACGACTTCAATTGATTTTTTCAGCACTTAGTCGATCAAAGGCCCGATGCGTAAGACCTGGTGAGCTCTAGACGTGTGTCGCAGACGTCAAACAACTAAATACCCCTCTGCTCACGCCATCCTGTCCTCTGCCCTCCTGTCCTCTGTCCTCTTCTGGCTGATTTGTTGCAGCCAACACACAAGTTTACAACGAAAACAGAGATTTTACCCAATCGTGCATGCTGCGCTTGAGTGAACGTGGAAGCGGGGGCCTGATTAACTAAGGTTTTCTGTTCACCATGTCAGATCTGCTGATTTAGATCATTGCATGTTCAAAACCAGCCAATGAAAGCTTAGTTGGGTACTGACTCAAATAGTTAAGACTTTAATTATTGTATTCAAGTCCTCTTTGCAGCTCCAATCCCTAATTTACCCCAAGTTAGATTGGATAAAGAGGAAGAGGACGTTTCATGATGAATACGGTCCAGTAACTAGGGAAATCAGCAAAAAGATGTGTGAACTGAGGTCCATCCAACGTGATCTCCAAAACCTGTTCGTAAAAATGTATACGAAAATCTTGAACATACAAATTGGTAACAATACATACGAACTGGCGGTGGTTAACCACGCCCCTTGAGTGAACAACATGGCGGACCATGTTGGATTCTTGAGTGAACGTCTCTCCGCCAATGTTGGATTTTTTGAGGGGGTTAGGGTTAGTATTCTATTCTTACAAGTTAACATTGATTTCTTGTTAAAAATGCAATCATAACACGTTTATTTTACATCGTTAGACTTCACGAAGTGTGGTTACGGGGTGCAGGTCCCCATCCACTTTGAATAGGGTGACGTCATCAGTTGCAGTCCGTATTTATTTAGTATGTATCACTACGAATTTGTATCTTCAAGATTTTCGTATACATTTTTACAAACAGGTTTTGGAGATCAGGCTGGTCCATCAGGACCAAGACCTCACGCCACACAGTCTCTTCCCGTCGGCAGCCGGGCTCAGAGCCCAGGTCTCCCACTGACCGACTCTCACTTCCCTTCATAGTCCATTTTATAATTGTTCAATGCCATGCACCACCCTGCATGTCTAACATACCTTGGAAATAAATGTTCCTGATTCCTGATGTGTGTCAAACCAAGAACATCCCGGGTCATCATTCTCATCTTCATCATCCCATTTCCATCATCCTCTCTCAGGTACCATGTTTGATCACTTTTATAGAGGCCTGATCTTAACCCAAAGTGAAAAAATTTCACAGAAAGGGCCAAGAAAAAAAAAGACATCTTACATAAAAGGAGAATGAAGCAAATTTGGGGATGTTGCAATAATGTATTATAAAAAATGATTTCTCATTCGGAAGGCTGTACGATGTTAATCTTTTATCATATTGCAGCGTGTGAATAAAATATGTTTGGAGTGTTGGTCGTACAAAACAAGACATTCAAAGGCAAGCTCGTTTTTTTACGTTGCAGCTCTAAATCATACGATGGACCACTTACACATTCATCCTTTTCTATGCTTAAATTTCCACTGTAATGTTTTTCAAATTCAGCTAATGTAGAACTGTAAGAACAAGCTTCAATCATGCAGTCCATTAAGCCAGACAGCCACACAGTCTTGGTACTGTTACACTCCTGTGAAAGCTAATGGGCTAAGGGGGGCTACAAGGGGATTTTTTACATCAAAATAAGTGTAGAATAATAAGATCCCGCAGTAGCATATACTTAGGTGGAGAAAGAGTAGAGTGGGGTGCCTGGTCACAACATTTAACTGCATGTGCTGGTGGTCTTCCTCTGTGTTTACATGTGCTGCCAGTGTGGCTTTGGGGGCTCATCAACACCCATGTCAAACTGAATCACACTCTGGCTAAGATCAGAGTAACAGAATCTAACACTCCTCTCTTTAGTGTCCTTCCTGTCTTCACATTCTCTGATCTAGTGCCAAGTCTTGATCTTCTCTCTGCTTAGATAAGAGTCATAAGTGAAGGGTGATTGCGCAGGAGAAAAGGAGCTTGAGGGAGAGGAAGGATCAAACTGAAGGTCACACTTGTGACTGCGAGGAGAAAACGCATGAATGAAGACAAAGAAGGGGCATAATTAAACTAATCACCGCATTAGATGACCTAAAAAGCTAAACTGATCACTGGGCATTTTGGTGGGTAAAGCTAATTAGACGTTGCTGTGACTTCACCATGTGGTTGGAACAAAGAGAGGCATCATCTAATGTGAGCATCATCGTCTCTTCTGTGTGAGATTGAGATTTGGTTCAAACCACAGCACCGGTGTCTCGTCGGAGCCGGGGAAACCCAGCGACACGACCGCATCAACGAGGCAAAATAAAGCGGTGCTCAGCTTCATTCCGCCGTCGTCCATGTGACTCGCGTTGCTAAAAGGGGCTAAAAGAACAGTGGAACCGGAAAATTTTTCCCTCGCTCTGCTACCAAAACCTGAAGAAGGAAAATCATAACATACCACATACAGAGTGGATAAGTCACTGGTTCTAAACAGGAGGAAATCCGTAATAATATTTCTATTAATATCATCTTTTCAATTTCCCTTCTTCCTGTTAACTGAACTAAAGTTAATAATATCTCCAGCCCTTAAATAAAACAACTACACTCTTGAGTACACTCAAAGGGTAACTCTATGCTTACCTCAAAACCGACTTTACACGTGTGTCTCTCAAAACAAGACGTGAGGAACTAATGCAAAAATGAAGTATTTGTTCTTGACTGTTTGC